GTGATGAAAAGCTGTGCATTTTTGGAGCAGTGATGAAAAGCTGTGCATTTTGGAGCAGTGATGAACAGCTGTGCATTTTGGGACAGTGATGAAAAGCTGTGCATTTTGGGACAGTGATGAAAAGCTGTGCATTTTGGGGCAGTGATGAAAAGCTGTGCATTTTGGAGCAGTGATGAAAAGCTGTGCATTTTGGAGCAGTGATGAAAAGCTGTGCATTTTGGGGCAGTGATGAAAAGCTGTGCATTTTGGAGCAGTGATGAAAAGCTGTGCATTTTGGAGCAGTGATGAAAAGCTGTGCATTTTGGGACAGTGATGAAAAGCTGTGCATTTTGGAGCAGTGATGAAAAGCTGTGCATTTTGGGACAGTGATGTAAAGCTGTGCATTTTGGAGCAGTGATGATAAGCTATATATTTTGGCATTTTTTTAGGTCCTGACAACCAATTTACAAGAATTTTTGAGTGGTTTTTAAAAATGTTATTCCTTCTTCTTGCATATGAATGATGAGTCCCAAAATCTATACAGAATGATACCAGCACTAACATCTACCGAATAGTATAATCTTATCGATATTATGAACCTTACAAGCATGATTCCATACTTCAACACTAACATTTTCAACACACCCATAATTTCAAATAACAGAACAATTCGACGCTAAGTTGTTGATGCTCAAGAGTGCGCACCTCGCTCTGCCCACGCCGCTCAGGCGTCAGCTCTGCAGTGTCTGCTTGTTGACGATCACTGCAGCATGCCACTGCATCGTGCTGCATGCCACTGCATCGTGCTGCATGCCACTGCATCGTGCTGCATGCCACTGCATCGTGCTGCATGCCACTGCATCGTACTGCATGCCACTGCATCGTGCAGCATGCCACTGCATCGTGCTGCATGCCACTGCATCGTGCTGCATGCCACTGCATCGTGCTGTGCCACTGCATCGTGCTGCATGCCACTGCATCGTGCAGCTTGCCACTGCATCGTGCTGCATGCCACTGCATCGTGCTGCATGCCACTGCATCGTGCTGTGCCACTGCATCGTGCTGCATGCCACTGCATCGTGCTGCTTGACATGCTACGCCTCTGCCCAGTGCTGCATGCCACTCCATGCGACTGCATCGTGCTCCATGCCACTGCCCAGAGCTTCCTACCACTCCATGCCACTGCGCCGTTATGTACATGCCGCAGTCCCTCCCTCACTAATAACTTATTATCAAGCGCCAAATAAATCGACAATTGGCGGTTTGCTGTGTGCTTGCTCTTCGTGGTCGCCCTCCTTAATTACGTTGCTTTGCGGCACGCATTTGAATGCGAATATATGCATAATTGTTATGGTTGCGAGTCTGTGTTTGGTTGTTAATCCAACGTGAAAATGACTGATTGTCTGGAGTCTGCACTTGAATACCGGTATTTCGATGTTATGCTAAAATGAAAGATCATGATTGTCAAGAGTCTGCACTTGAAGATTTTAATGTAATGCTGAAATGAATGATCATGATTGTCAAGAGTTTGCACTTGAAGATTTTAATGTGATGCTGAAATGAACGATCATGATTGTCACTTTGATATTCTGATGTAATGCTGAGATGAACCGTCGCTATTGCAACGTGTCTATACTTGATTGTGAATCAATTATTTATTAGTATCCGTAATCGACGAGTCAAATAACTAACTCGGCATCATTACTAAAACAGTTGGAGCTTCATTTACCTGTCAATAAATAAACCAGAAAATAGGAAATTGTTGAGCCTGTCTCTCTTATCAAGGATCATGTTACCAGGATAAAAAAAATGATAATCCACGGACCGGTCGTTGCAGGGA